CCACTTGTTGTTGATTCATGACAAAAAAATAACATTTTATATCTTTATGTTTGAAGCCTGAAATGTGGCGAAATGTTGAAAGGTTAAAGGGGGCCGAATACTTTCGCAAGGCACTGTATATGTGTATGCATCAAACTGAAATTTCCCCATTGAAGGTTCTTTTCCCCATAAAGGACCTTCTTCTAATTGGGAGACGCCAATGTGCCTTCATTTGGCTTTCACATAATCAAATGATCAATCTGAGGACAACAGTCAATACATTTTTAACGCCTTGACCAGGGTTCGGCAACTCATATTTGATTAAAAAACTAAAAACAAATCTGAGCCGCAAAAAAATAAGTCTGTCAGCTTATGTGGAGGCAACACGTACTGTGAGATGTATTTGCTGTATTATGCTGCTTTCAGACCGCCAACGCTGGAACGCTGAAGCATCGCTCACCAGACGCACATACTCTAGTTTTCAGACGCAGGGGTCTTCAGACCAGAAGTCCTGGTGCGCGCCGGAAGTGGCATGGCAGAAGTTGCTGGCAGGCTTTGATGCTAACAGAGTTTAGCTAGCGGCTTCTTGACTGAAGATCTTCTCCAATAATGCAGCTTTGCAGCGTGTCTGTGTTTAGAGACCTTCCACAGACTTTTTATAACAGTAGTGTGTGTACACGGAGGTGCGCAATAAGTTTATTTTATTATTAAACGGTACTTCAGCATCGGCGAACACGCTCGAAGCAGTTGCATAACGAGAGCATGAAAACTCACATGTTAACAAGCACTATGTCCCCCATTGTCAACCCTGGTTTAGTCCGGTATAGCCCCTGTTTTGGCTGTTTATGAGTATGTTCTGCCTGCTCGCTCAGACCGCTAATGTCCCTGTGACCACTTTGCGGCTCTCTGATTGGTTGCTGCACGAGCATCCCGAGGAAAGATTCAGCAAAATTCATCTCCTGCGTGCGTCGATTTTCCGTTCCTGTTCCTCCCCTTCGACTTTCCTGCGCAGTCCGTGCGTCTCTACTGAGCAGTCCGTGCGTGCATTCCGAGACGCTCGAACGCGTGTCACCATTGACTTTGCATTCAAAGCCGACGCAACGCGTGATCCGGTCTGAACGCGGCATTAGCCTACTATCAAAATGACGAAGTATACGCTACAATTGCATAAAATGCATTCATGATTATAACATTTTTATTTTCCCCACAGTGCGTCCTGGAGAGAATGACGCACTATAAGTAGTCTGCTTTAAGTTTAACTTCCACAATTGTGGAAATACAGTAAATAAATCTGCTTTTTGGCTCAGTTCACATACCCAATATTTTGAATAAAATTTTAAATACCAATATTTTGAATGAATCCTTCACGTAATCATCATCCATGAACAGTATTTGTAAGGAAAAATGCGTGTCCCACCATGAAAAATTTAAAGGTTTTACACTGGAAGCCAAAAATATTGTTTATTTTTTGTGTGCACTTGTTCAAAGAGCAGTGTCAGTCATTACTGAGGGAGGATCCTATTGCCATGTCCACACGTGTGGCCGGGTATTTTTAAAACCGAATATTTCCCCCCCTCAGTTTGAAAATAATTTGCATCCACACATAACCGAACATCTGCGTTTTCAATCACATTCATTTGATGCTGACGCCAGTACTTCTGTAGCGGCACTTTTACAGTCACAGAAGAAACTCAGGGTAAAGACATGTTTACAAGCACTGACCCCTGTACTCAGGCCTGGTTTAATCCTGGTATAGCTCCTGTTTTGGTTGTTTTCGAGATTGAGTCCCCGTGATCACTTTGGTGCTCTCTGATGGCGAACAGTTTTTAAGGCAGTGAGAGACATGCCTCTTCAGTGATCAGAGGTCGCATGTTTTGTTTTTGTTTTGGGGGCATATTGTGACGTTCAAAAACGCAAAACTCCGGTTACCTCTGTCTACACGCAAATGCATAAACAAAGTTTTCAAAAATATCCACTTTGCCTGTAGTTTTTTATACATTTGTTTATGATGTGTTGTCATGTGGATGACAGGTGCAAACGAAGAAAAATATCCGCGGTTTAGCAGATACCCGGCTACGTGTGGACGGGGCCTTTGTCTTATGTATTTCCCTCCTGTCAGCTGGTTTACGGCAGTGTGTTTTGGCTGACTACAAAAGTAAATGTTTCAAAGTCTCCCAGTGTCCTTAGACGCTCTTAAAACTTCTGTCGGAGTTCTCGCCTTCAAGGGACCTCCAAAACGTAACTGCGTGTAGCAGGCACGTTCTTCTGAGATGCGATAAATGAAAATGGTTTCTCTTCATTGGAGCAACGATTACAAATTATTAGGGGTGTACCAAAATGTTGATATTTTGTCCCATTGTCAATTGCTGCTAATGCTAAGTCCAAGTATCAATATGTTGATTTAGCTCTGAGAACTTAGTTTGAGCTACCATGGCAAAGCAATTTCTAAGTGAATAAATAATGCCATGGGAAGTGTCTTTGGGTGTCATGGTCATGATTGATCTATAGTTATGTACCTACATGACATTTAGCGTAACAGAATTTCACAAACCTGGAGATGTCTGACATTTTAAGTGTATTATACGTTGAAACCTTCTTCTGAATACAGCAAATAATCCATATAAGCTCAAGCGCTATTTTTAACTATAGGAATCACCTGCTTTTCGGCTTACTGATTAATTCACCATCATTTCAAATAATTGCTTCAGTGCTGTTAAATTTCACCTGTAGATAAAGTAGCATCAACTTAGCAGAGCAACAGCCCAATAGACTTGCCATTTCTAAATAAAGCCCTGTTTAAAACTACAGCATGTCTCTATGGTTACTAAGACAATCGTGTCTTAGACACATTTGAGAATAAAAAAAACTGTGGAAAGCACAGTCCAGTAAATATAAAATGTACTTCCCCATTCTGAAATTGTTCAGGGTGGTTTTTTTATATTTTAGAACATAATCTGATAAAGAGAAAATGTAATATTATAGTTTTCCCTTTGTTATTCGTTTATAGTGAAAGTAGTGAGTTTACTGTGACGTTACATCCATGTGCAGCAAATGTACAAACAGATTCAGATTCAGATTCATTTATTTGCCATTTGCAGTATGTCTTGTGTTCTGTTGTGCTAATGACTTTAGTTTGATTCTATTTTTTCCATCTAACTAGTTCTTTGCACTTAACATTATTAGGTTATTTCACTAGTTTGAGCCATGATTCCCAGCTGATAATTATTGGCATCCAATATTATCACTGTTATAACAAACATTGTGGACAGTAATTGAAGGCTAGTCAGAGTTTGAAAGGAGAGCATCTGGAGAGAAGGAGCGGGGTGACTTATTTGTGTCAGGATTTTTTCATATTAGTGTGGGTAGAGCTTAAACAACTCCAGGCCTGTTTTTAACAAAGGACACATACAGTGCTTGCAAAACTATTCGGCCCCCTTAAACCTTTCAACATTTTGCCACATTTCAGGCTTCAAACATAAAGATATAAAAATTTAATTTTTTTTGTCATGAATCAACAATGAGTGGGACACAATCGTGAAGTGGAACAAAATTTATTGGATCTTTGAATGATCCAATGTTGTCCCAAATGACTGATGATGATAAATAGAATGCACCTGTGTGTAATCATGTCTCCGTATAAATACACCTGCTCTATGATAATCTCAGGGTTCTGTTTAAAGCGCAGAGAGAACCATGAAGACAAAGGAACACACCAGGCAGGTCCGAGATACTGTTGTGGAGAAGTTTAAAGCCGGATTTGGATACAAAAAGATTTCCCAAGCTTTAAACATCTCAAGGAGCACTGTGCAAGCAATTATATTGAAATGGAAGGAGTATCAGACCACTGCAAATCTACCAAGACCCGGCCGTCCCTCCAAACAAACTTTCATCTCAAACAAGGAGAAGACTGATCAGAGATACAGCCAAGAGGCCCATGATCACTCTGGATGAACTGCAGATAACTACAGCTGAGGTCGGAGAGTCTGTCCATAGGACAACAATCAGTCGTGCACTGCACAAATCTGGCCTTTATGGAAGAGTGGCAAGAAGAAAGCCATTTCTCAAAGATATCCATAAAAAGTCTCGTTTAAAGTTTGCCACAAGCCACCTGGGAGACACACCAAACGTGGAAGAAGATTCTCTGGTCAGATGAAACCAAAATCCAACTTTTTGGCCACAATGAAAAACGATATGTTTGGCGTAAAAGCAACACAGCTCATCACCCTGAACACACCATCCCCACTGTCAAACATGGTGGTGGCAGCATCATGGTTTGGGCCTGCTTTTCTTCAGCAGGGACAGGGAAGATGGCTAAAATTGATGGGAAGATGGATGACGCCAAATACAGGACCATTCTGGAAGAAAACCTGTTGGAGTCTGCAAAAGACCTGAGACTGGGACGGAGATTTATCTTCCAACAGGACAATGATCCAAAACATAAAGCCAAATCTACAATGGAATGGTTCACAAATAGACGTATCCAGGTGTTAGAATGTCCAAGTCCAGACCTGAATCCAATCGAGAATCTGTGGAAAGAGGTGAAGACTGCTGTTCACAAACGCTCTCCATCCGACCTCACTGAGCTCGAGCTGTTTTGCAAGGAAGAATGGGAAAAAATTCCTGTCTCTCGATGTGCAAAACTGATAGCGACATACCCCAAGCGACTTGTAGCTGTAATTGCAGCAAAAGGTGGCGCTACAAAGTATTAGCGCAATAATATTGCACGCCCCACTTTTCAGTTTATTTGTTAAAAAAGTTAAAATTATCCAATACATTTTGTTCCACTTCACGATTGTGTCCCACTTGTTGTTGATTCTTGACAAAACATTTAAATTTTATATCTTTATGTTTGAAGCCTGAAATGTGGCGAAATGATAAAAGGTTCAAGGGGGCCGAATACTTTTGCAAGGCACTGTATATATATTTGATATATTGTATTTTATCACTAAATGTCCTTGCAATGTTGCAAGTTAATGTAATCACTGTTACTTAAACATTCCTGACATTTCTCCTCTCCTTAGGTGTTCCTTCTCCTCCTGTCCTGTCCACCAAAGTGTCTGGACACCTTCAGGCCTCTCCAGTAAAGGGCAATGGTCCGGCCCACAACTATGCTCCCCCCTCTGCCCCCAAGCAGCGCGGACGCAAGCCAAAGTAAGTTTCATCAGTCCGTATTAGCAGGTTACCAGAGCATACGTTTATCCCCATCTCATGGTTGTTCACAAAGGTCATTAAATTGCGTATGAATTGAGTTTCAGAGGTTATTTCCCCAGCGCATAATCTCCTTGTGGTTCTCCATTGTGAAAAACATTTCACAATACTCTTACTTGAAGGATCTCCACAGGCTCCTTTTTCAGACCTGGATTAACTTTATAACCCTTCCACATTATTCCTAAACAATCTGGCACCCTCATGCATTTCTGACCTGCTTGTACCTTAGATCCTTCAAATAGAAAGCTGGGGTATCAAACTTTTTTTCCTCTTTCATAAATGTTACATATTGTTTCCCAAACCTAACAGTCTTGTATTGTGAGCAATAGCTTTCTTTCTTGTCAAGCTGTGTTCCCACCGCCAATGCATGGACGTGCGTTGATGGAGGCATGGACGCGTGTACACCAAATATCAGCAGCATGAGATTAGACAATCTGACGTACTGCCCCTGGGGAAAAACGCAGGGTGGGAGTGGTGGGCAGGGCTTTGATGCTAACGAGTTTTAAGGGATGAGATGAGATGTTCTTTATTATATCACAATGGAAAAATTCAACTTAGCGTTTTTTTGTGTAAAGTTCTCCTCCACAAGTGCAGCTCCGCAGCGTCTGTATTCTGAGATCCTCCAGAGATACAATAAAACGGGAGTTTCTGCTCACGGAGCTGCGCTTTATTACATCAGTTATCGGTATTTTCGTATCGACAAACACGTTAGCGGCACTTCTATACAGTGACAGTAGAATGTCAACTCAGGGTGAAGACATGTTCACAAGCACGTTCCCATTGTCAGTCCGGGTTTAGCTCATGTTTTGGGTGTTTTCGGGTGTCTACATCTTCCTGTTTTGACCAGCTTGTTTTCCTGTGATCACTTTACTTTGCTGCTCTCTGATTGGTTGCCGCACGTGCGTGGAGTGAGGATGTTCAGTGAAGCTCATCTCCTGCTTTCGCTGCATGCATCTAGCTGCCGTACACATGCATCTGCCGTGTCTGACAAACGTGCATGTCGCGATGTACATGCAAATACTCGTGCCGACGTACTTCACCATTGACTTTGCATTGAAACTCGCCACAACGCATGGGTTAAAGCCGAGTTGCAGTCCTGTAGAAATGTGCTAAATATGAATCAATATTCTTCTTACTATTTTTCCTATTTTCCTGCATTTGTCCAATTGGAAATCCAGCATTGGTTTTGGTGCATCCCTAAATCATACATTTTGTTTTCCCCTGAAATTCTTGATGTATTATTTGTGTGTCCCCAGAGTGGCGGGTTCTATGCCAGTGGAGAAGAAGAAGAAGGGGAAGAGGAGAAAGGAGGAGGTGCTACAGGAGGTGGTGGAGAGCGATGACACCACCTCCACATCGGGCCTGACTGTGGGGGGAGAGGACAGCCAGGACCCTCTAGACAGCAGTGTAAATACTAACCTGCTTTAGCTTTATCCACACTGGTTCTCTCTTCTACTACAGTCCGTTGAAAGTTTATACCCCATGGCAGACATTGATTTTTTTGGCCATATTTTGGAAATGATGTACAGTGCCTTGCGAAAGTATTCGGCCCCCTTGAACCTTTCAACATTTCGCCACATTTCAGGCTTCAAACATAAAGATATAAAAAAAAAAAAAATTTGTCATGAATCAACAAGTGGGACACAATCGTGAAGTGGAACGAAATTTATTGGATAATTTTAACTTTTTTAACAAATAAAAAACTGAAAAGTGGGGCATGCAATATTATTCGGCTCCTTTACTTTCAGCGCAGCAAACTCACTCCAGAAGTTCAGTGAGGATCTTTGAATGATCCAATGTTGTCCTAAATGACTGATGATGATAAATAGAATGCACCTGTGTGGAATCAAGTCTCCGTATAAATGCACCTGCTCTTTGATAGTCTCAGGGTTCTGTTTAAAGCGCAGAGAGAACCATGAAGACAAAGGAACACACCAGGCAAGTCCGAGATACTGTTGTGGAGAAGTTTAAAGCCGGATTTGGATACAAAAAGATTTCCCAAGCTTTAAACATCTCAAGGAGCACTGTGCAAGCAATTATATTGAAATGGTAGATTTGCAGTGGTCTGATACTCCTTCCAAGACCCGGCCGTCCCTCCAAACTTTCATCTCAAACAAGGAGAAGACTGATCAGAGATGCAGCCAAGAGGCCCATGATCACTCTGGATGAACTGCAGATAACTACAGCTGAGGTGGGAGTCTGTCCATAGGACAACAATCAGTCGTGCACTGCACAAATCTGGCCTTTATGAAAGAGTGGCAAGAAGAAAGCAATTTCTCAAAGATATCCATAAAAAGTCTCGTTTAAAGTTTGCCACAAGCCACCTGGGAGACACACCAAACATGTGGAAGAAGGTGCTCTGGTCAGATTAAACCAAAATCGAACTTTTTGGCCACAATGCAAAACGATATGTTTGGCGTAAAAGCAACACAGCTCATCACCCTGAACACACCATCCCCACTGTCAAACATGGTAGTGGCAGCATCATGGTTTGGGCCTGCTTTTCTTCAGCAGGGACAGGGAAGATGGCTAAAATTGATGGGAAGATGGATGGAGCCAAATACAGGACCATTCTGGAAGAAAACCAGTTGGAGTCTGCAAAAGACCTGAGACTGGGACGGAGATTTATCTTCCAACAGGACAACGATCCAAAACATAAAGCCAAATCTACAATGGAATGGTTCACAAATAGACGTATCCAGGTGTTAGAATGGCCAAGTCAAAGTCCAGACCTGAATCCAATCGAGAATCTATGGAAAGAGCTGAAGACTGCTGTTCACAAACACTCTCCATCCATCCTCACTGAGCTCGAGCTGTTTTGCAAAGAAGAATGGGCAAGAATTCCAGTCTCTCGATGTGCAAAACTGATAGAGACATACCCCAAGCGACTTGCAGCTGTAATTGCAGCAAAAGGTGGCACTACAAAGACTTTTCTTTTTTCCCGTGCATACAACTAGAGAATTTTATCTTTTTAACACACCTTGTTATTTATTGTTGTAACTTTTTGTGTTTTTAACTATTTTATTGTTTTTAATTACTTGTGTGATTTTTATGTTTTTAAATTACTTATGTGATTTTAATGCTTTTTAATTACATATGTGTTTTTAATTGTATTTTAATGGTGATGATTTGTGCATTGTGTGGTGTGGACTGTGAGGCGCTTTGTGTTGCCCTGTGCAGGAAAAGCGCCCTATAAATAAAGATTGATTGATTGATTGATTGAAAGTATTAGCGCAAGGGGGCGGAATAATATTGCACGCCCCACTTTTCAGTTTTTTATTTGTTAAAAAAGTTAAAATTATCCAATACATTTCGTTCCACTTCAGAATTGTGTCCCACTTGTTGTTAATTCTTGACAAAAAATTAAAATTTTATATCTTTATATTTGAAGCCTGAAATGTGGCGAAATGTTGAAAGGTTCAAGGGGGCCAAATACTTTTGCAAGGCACTGTATGTTAACTTTTCCTCCTTATTATTAGTGGTTGTGTGGAACCCTGTGGAAACCTTTGTTCAATTGTCAAATGAACAGTGTTGGGGATTAACGGAATACATTTTCAAATTATAATGACAACAAAAACTCTTCTTCGGACCCTGATTAGAAGACCCCTGTTCTCAATAATGTTTATTTTCCCTTTAACATCAATGAGGCACCAAGAGATTCTTTATCCTCTCCAATGCTAAAGCTGCCCACTCTCCAATTATTGATAAAACCAAACTTTTTTGAGAGCTAAAAAAAGACTTTGGAACAGTAATTGTAAATAAAAGTGCCATCATAGATCCTATATAAGCACACTTTTGGCAAATAAAATCATGCAATTACTTTTTTAAGTCTCTTGTTTCTCTATTTTTTGAACATTTGTTTTTGCCAGTATTGCTTAAAACACCTTTAAGGATATTTTATGTTGATATAGGAACAACTGTATGTTTACAGGCTAATTGATAAATTATAACAATCAAACTCTGGGAAATGTAGATTATCAAAATGAAGCTGGAGCCCACTTAATTCTGGTAGAAGTATAAGTCTTCAGAATCAGGACCAATTTTAACTCCAAAATAAAAATGGGTCAAAAAATTTGCTAAACAGTTTACAATATTTTGACAGCTGTGAAAGGGGAATTTTCAATTATGAACCCAAACGTCGGTGAATGCACAATCAGTTAGAGCCAAGCAACTTATGATGCGAGTAAATTAGTCACAAAAGGCCTCAGCTTCACAAAGAGTACAGCCATTAAATTGTCCTCCACAAGGTTCTCAAAAAAATGCAGTTTACATTTTAAACTCTTTTTTTGTTGTTGAGAAAATAGACTAAAGCCTTAAAGGGTTATTGACCTTTGGCTCTTGTTCAGAAGCGACGTTCCGGGCGCCAGGTGAAGAGGAGGAAATACAATGAGGATCTGGATTTTAAAGTGGTGGACGATGACGGGGAGACCATTGCGGTGCTCGGAGCCGGCCGGATCTCAGCGCTCAACGCTACGGCTTTGGCCTGGCAGGCAGAGGTAACAGCGAGTGATGCTTTGGGTGAGCTGTTAAAGCTGGGACACTTCACTTTCGTTTCGAGTCAATAGAGTCTTGAGATACTAAAATTAGTGTGTGTATCAGACCACTACATGCTGTCTACATTTTATTATATAACATGTTTTCATTTGTATATACATATTTAGAAAGAACCCTGTTGAGGTTCACTTGTTGAGCTTTTGGGGTGACTGTTCATTGAAAAGAAGAAAAAAACGCATGTGACAAAGAAAAATGAATGTGAGAAGAAGTGATACATCCACATTTTGAGATCAAGGAACCTGTCGGATAGATTTTATTACATGTGTTTTTTTGTGTGTGTTTGTGTTTTTAATGTTTGATACCCCAGCTTTAAGCATGCTAAAGTGATTTATCATCAAACTCTAAGTTGACATTTGAGAAGTGTATACAAATATATGCGTACCTGATTTATAGAATGTAGAATAGAATGTAATTTGGATACAGGATGTCCCCAGCAGTCATGTTTGGACCATAATCTCTGTATATTTTTTATATTGTAAACTTTCAGACCCTGTATACATTCCCTGTCCAGGCAAATAAGAATTTCAACATGGCTGCATCCTGCACTTTGTGAAAAATAAAATAAAAATGAATAGTGGAGGGAAGGCAGAAGATTCAAAGCACTCTTGATGAATATAATAAAAGCCTTTTAATCTTTTAAGTCAGATAAGCTGACATGTATCAACCAGTTTTTTCAAAGCAACTTGAATCAATTATGTCCTTTTGTTTCAGGAGCCACCGGAGGATGAGGCCAACATCATTGAAAAAATTCTTTCTGTCAGACCGCTGAAGAAGGAGGTAAGGAGGTCTGGGACATGGCCACAAAGTGTTGGACGAATTGTATAAAGCGATGTCTCTTTTTTTATGTTTTAGCTTATTTATTACAGCATTGCATAATGAAAATGGCATTAAAGTCTGTCTATTCCATGCATTGGGGTTTAACGATCCATAGACAACTGCTGTTTCAAAAACATTACAACAAATTTATTGTGTTTGACTTAAAATCCTGTCATCTTCTGGTCAGAATCTGCACCCATTTACTGCCTACTTTTATCATGCCTATTAATTTTTGACACAAGCTGATTTTGCCTGTGTACAGACACTGCCAGACGACCAATCAGACGAGCCGGAGGAGTTCTACGTCAAATACAGAAATTTGTAAGTGTCATGGCGGCTGCTTCTCACCTTCTCACTGCTGTCACAGGGTATTTTCAGACCTGCATCACTTCCACATGGGTTTGGCCCTGTTTTTGTCATCCTTATCAAGGAGAAAAGGTCTTCAAATAAGCAAAAAGTGCAATGCAGTGCAGATGAAATAATAAATATTAGTCGCTTATGTATGTTTTTTATTCTTAATTTAAATCACAATGTTTGCGTACGCTCTCAGTGGTACAAGGATTATTCTAAACAACCGTCCTTTGATTTAAAATGCAATGATCATTATATTTATTATCCAAACATTTGGGATGCCATTTTTTTTTACTTCTAATTCAGATTTTTTGTGTTGATTTGGAAATAGAAACACAATTCTTCCTTCATAAACTGTATTTAAACTTGCAACGACGGTAAGCATGGCCTCCACCAGGAAAGTTGCAATTTTAAACCAAAACAAATAATTGACCATGTATTTTCCCCCTCTGCTAGTATAAAGTTTCTGCCTGCACATCACTCGTAAGGATTAGCAGACAATCTTCCAAAGAAAGAAAGTATTTAGTCAGCCACCATTTGTGTAAGTCTCTCTAAGATTCAATAACAAAACTCTTCTTATTTTCCACTTTGTCTGATTTGTCTTTATTTACAAATAGTATAATGTGATTTTCTGGAATTGTTGTTCTCATTTTGTCTCTCAGAGTTGAGGTAAACCAATGATGAATATTACAGGCATCATTTTTAAGTGGGAGAACTTGCACAATTGGTGGTCGACTAAATACTTTTTTTGCACCACTGTATGCATGGCCTCATTCACAAAACTCTTTCTAAATTCCTAAAAAGAAAATTCTTACCAGTCGGCCTTAAAGGTCCTATAGCACGCTTTTCTTCATGTTTCACACTCAATCCTATACACATGTGTGATATTAATGTGTATGATACACAACACAACAATCAAAGCTTGTGAGATTAGAGCCATCTCTTGTGTAGAGGTGACGTCACCTCGACTCAAACGAGCTGATCCAGAGAAGAGTCTGCTCCTCTGCCTGTGAGCCCGCCTCCCCCCGCCCGCACGGTGACGTAGCATCACGCTTTTGTCGTTTATCACCTGTACTTAGTAATTTCATACATAAGAATAAACTTTTTCCAACAATGACAATCCGTCACATCGAGCCCTATGTCCTCGATGCACAATCAGATCCTAGTTATTTAGTTTACAGAAGTATACAGCGAGTTAGCGTCACTACTTACAGATCGGGGGGGTCCGAGTTACGTCTTTTACCGTGGGAATAACGTGTTTCCAGATCAGCTTTTGAGTAAGTCCAGTTCCATTGTCCCTGTAGTTCTGGAACAGTCTCAGTGAAGTGTCGCAGATGAACCGGTATTATAATAGATCCATGAGATGAGCAGATGAAAAAAGGCGAGCCGCTTTCTTCCTCTTAGGGCCAAATAGTGTGTCACATATTTACACCCATAACACACTTCATTCAAGTTGACGTGATCCTAACACTTTTAGTTGCTGACAAAAGCAGAAAAACAGCAGCTCTATGTGGTGTCCGCAAAACCAGACCACAGACGCTGGACTCGGGAGCCGGAGCCTGTGCGCTCTGATTCGCTGTTTTGATCCGTCAATCACCTCCCGCCGGCTTTTAATTTATTTTTATTATTTTTGACCGAAAACAGCATACTAATTGTGTATTGTTTACCCCGTTTTGACAAAAGTATTTAACAACTATTTTAAATACAAAGCAAACGGGGTCATGCGCGTCATCAGTGTGGTTTTCGTCACTGAAGTGGACCCGAGCGTTTCTGTGCCTCACGCTGGGGAAGGAGACAGATTGCTCTCTTACAAAAGATTGACAGAATCAATGAATAAACTACTGTGGGCTTGTGTATGAAGGCCAAATAGCATTGTAATCATGTTTAAAGCAGAGAAAAGTCAAAAACCGTGATATGGGCCCTTTAAAACCGAATATTCTGAGGGGAATAGCCCACTACCATAGTATTTGAAATTCCTCTAGAGAACCTCCGTTTACTCAAGCACTTTGCCTGTCTTTGTACAGGCTGCTGCACCAAGATGAATTGGTTAAGATGTTTGTAATTCATTCTCGTTGGTGATGAATAAAAGATGTAGCCAAGTCCTCTAGGATTTTATTAGTTCCAGAAATAACGTATTCAGAAAGTTCATTTTTGTAATGGTAAAAAATCTTTGGTCTCAAGCTGCACTAGGAGATTTTATGTTCAAAGTGGAGTTTTATTGATGGGACTGCAAGTTTTAGGACATAATTTTTCAGTAGTTTTTTTTAACCTGTGATCCATTTAACAACAGTATGAAGGTAAACAAATTATAGGAATGATACACAGAAATAAGAATAGCATAGAATAATTGCAAAATGTATGGCTCTGAAATACGTGTACATGTAGTTTCATGTCAGAATCAGAATAATTTTTATTGTAACAGGAAGTCACAGATTTGGAAATTGCTTTTTCTCAGTGCAACAGTCAGAAAGAGAGGTAAGGGTAGAGAAGGCATAATAAAAAATAAAGAATAATTAAAGCCGCAAGCGGCGTCGAACGGCCCTTGCCGCACCGCGCGACTCGCCGCCCCACCCTCCACCGCACAACGAAGTTGTGCGAGGTGTACATTTGCCTTTAACACAGAATGGGGAGTGTTTGTCTTCGCCACGGCAACAGGGTAAAAAATAGGTCTTGGGTGGCTGACTTTTTGAATCAAGAGCTAAGTGCAGTTTCAAACCTTTTGACAAAACTGAATGTGATTGGCCCCATGTAAAACATTGACGTAGTCTGTAGGGGGCGCTAATGGGCCAATTTCAATTATTTCACTTTCTCGTGACCTATTCCTAACGGTGCTTTTAGACCGACAACGCTGAAACGCGCGTTCTCTAGTTTTCAGACACAGGGGTCTTCAGACCAGAGGTCCTGGCCCGCACCGGAAGTGCCGGAAGTAGCCTGCGGGCTCTGATGCTAACAGAGTTTAGCTAGCGGCTTCTTGTGTACAGATCTTCTCCAATAATGCAGCTTTGCAGCGTGTCTGTGTTCAGAGATCTTCCACGGACTTTATATAACAGAAGTATGTGTTCACGGAGGTGCGCAATACGTTTAATTTATTATTAAACGGTACTACACACTCGAAGCAGTTGCATAAAGTCAAAGAAATTACCAGATCATAACTTGTTACAGTTTTCTAACATGTAAGATCCTGGACATGTTTGAGGAGATGCTAAAGTTAAACTAAAAAGTGTTAGTCACTTTTCTGCCGGTTCATCTGTTTTCACAAACACCTAATTTTCTCAGCTTTTTGTCGAAGACTGGTGCTTTTGTCACATTCCCCTCTTTTTGACTGGAGATCACAGGAGAACGAAACAAGCTAAAAACAAACATCTTTTTGCTGCTGAAAGTAGACAGTCTCATCTTTCAGACTCTGGTTTCATATTTTTCATAGTCATAGCACTCAATATTCTGTGAGTCTTGAAAATCAGTGAAGTCATCAAAAATGGCTGGCAGTCAATGAGAACCTGTTTTTCAAGTGAGTCCTGTACAAAAAATACATACAATTACAGATTATAGAATAGTTACATACAAATTATAAAACAGTCACATACAATTTCATAAAATTACGAATTATAAAAACAGTTACATAGGGTTGAAACAACTAATCGATTAATCGACGACTAATCGATTATTGAAATAGTCGACAACTATTTTAGTAATCGATTAATCGTTTTCTGGTTCACACGGACTCAAACAGAGCAAAAATGACATGAAAATGTAGTATTTTTGATTAAAACCGACTTTGTTTTTATAATTTCATGAATATCTGTCTGTCTCATCCAATCAGATAGCAGAATTAGCACAAAGAGCCTTTTACAAACATTTACTTTAAGTTTACGCCATCAATACGTCCTCGAGTGTTGCCACTTTAGCTTTTTGTGATGAAAAAATAAAAAAAATTCTACACAATTCACAGCCAAGCGATTACTTGATTAATCGTAAAAATAATCGATAGATTAATCGATTACAAAATAATCGTTAGTTGCAGCTCTACAGTTACATTTCACTGAAGATGTCTCAAGTGCTCTCAATCTGGATCTAAAAGCATTCAATGAAATACAGTCAGATCATTTCCAGTCTTTTTGCAACACGTACCATAGAAGGAGGAGCATATACAAAAGTTTCTTTAGGAATGAAGCCTGCCTGCAGGATGCACAGACAACAAAGGCACAACTCCTGGACCATGGTAATAGGAAAGTACCTGTGGCCTCAGGACTCTATACACATGACATCACACGTACAGTTAAGATACAAGATTATGCAATATATACATATTAGCATCAATGGTTCTTGCTTGACGGTCGATGGATGCGGCTCCAAACACTTATGTTTGTTTGTGGCTTTAAAACATTTGTTTTAATTTTGACACATTTGTACTTTTCAGGCAATGTTGTTGTCCCACAATCCTGACATGCACCACCAGACTCACAATCAAAAAGCTCAAAAGGAATTGTTTTTGAGTGACATAACCAACTGACATTACAAGCAACTTTAGTTATAGCAGTAGAATAAGCTTCTAAGCATAAGACATCTGTTTATGCTAATTATTTTTCATTCTAAAGTATCAGTAGTAGTAAAAGTATAATTATGTGAATATGGTTTTGTTGCTGTTGTTTGCAGTTCGTACATGCACTGTAAGTGGGCCACTCTGGAGGAGCTGGAGAAGGACCCAAGGATCCACCAGAAAATCAAACGCTTCAGGACCAAACAGGCCCAAACCAAGCACATCTTCACTGAGGTCAGGCTTCAGGTTTAAACAGAGGGTTTAGGTCAGGAGGTCAGGGGCGCTCACTGGCCGATCCCAAAGGCAGGTTGGGTAATTGGCGCGGCAGTCATAGTTTTGGTTCACGGCATGTGCATTTTCACCATACCAATTCACACATGTTTCATTCTGCCTGCAGTACGCACTTCTCTAGTGATAACCATGTAGCCTGCACTCGAACCATCTCCATCCTCTGTGCCGTTTACCCTGGGGCCCTGGCTGACGCCCATCATATAGAGAAGCTGCTTATGGCTCAATCCCCACTAAACTGTACGAATGTGTTACATATGAAGTTTGATTTACTAAGGACAATGTGCAGTTGCATTAAAAAAAATGGCTGCCCCAGATTTAGAACCATGCTTCTTTCCACTCGTAGTCCTTGATAATACAATAATGTAACTTTCATAATAATATACAGTTCAAATTAAAAGTGCAGGGTCAATGACATGAAAAAGCCCCAAAATGAAAACTCAGCTGTTTTGGACGTAACAACCAGTGGACACGATGTGTTTGTCTGCAGTTATTGAATAATATATCTTTGCTTAATGTGCAATCTATTTAGTGATTGTTATATCCCTAAACATTAGCCATTAAATAGTCTTCCCTGTCCTGTTAATGATTCCTCTCATGATACCTCCAACATCACATGTCCTGTAGGTAACAATTGTGTCCCCAAAGTTCAATACATTCAAAAAAAAAAAATGGTTTTGAGCAGCCCATCTGAGATAATCCTATGTACAGTATATCTATAAGCTACTAGTATTAAAGAATAAGTAGGTACAAACATTTTTGGTACATACATTTATTTTATTGCCGCTGGAAGTAAGATTTATGTATTGTACAGTTTTATGTGGAGTGAGCCTTATGCAAACGTGACTGCTACTCATAGATGAAGTAATATGAGTACAAAAAAGTTATGCCTGGCATTTACAATAGTATGAGAAACACTGAAGTCTCTATGAAGTAAAATAACATACTGTACAGTCTTTGGCAGATGAATGTGTACTTTTAGAAGTACATGTTTAAGCCTACATTGTTCTATGTTCATAACCATACATAAACAGGGGCATCATGAATCAAATCAAATGTGATAGTAGTAACATATATTTTAGTTATTGTTTTAAAGTTGGTTACTACAGCCTTAAATGCATGCATTGTTACTTTCCCTTTCTTATGATTAATATATGATCTGTGAGAAGACACGTATTCACTAAACTAGTTCTTTGTGTGTCCTCAGCCTGATGAGGATTTGTTTAATCCTGACTATGTGGAGGTGGACCGAGTGCTGGAGGTGGCTGTTACCACGGACACAGAGACTGGAGAGGTACGTCACTGATAAGAACATTATACTGAGTTTATAAATGTAGGAAATCTGATCATATTGGGACCAGATTGTTTGGTTGCATCACAAAAAAATCTGTTCCAGGATTAGGTCAGACTATGGATAATCCAGGGAGTGACCCTAAAACTCATCAGATTTTTTTTATTTATTAATCGTTAAGAGATAGTGGAAACAATCAAAACTACACTAGGACAAAATAAGACTGAGCCAGTTGCAAAAACTCAAGACTTTTATAGTTAAACTGAAGCCTATATAAATCCATGTGTTTTATACATACTGAAATTACGTGTTGACCTGATTTTTTTAGACCTGTGTCTGCTTTTAACCACTGGGAAGACGGGAACAAGTCAAAACAAACTTTCAAAATGATTCTTCCTGGATTCCAGGAAATTGGATTATATTGGACTACAGGAAGCTTATTCACATTTTCCAACATTGAGCCAGGCATGCAAAAACTATTTTGTGTGCAAGTTTTGCGTGAATTTCAAGTGTCCCTAGTGTGGTGTCGTCACTTCCTGATCTTACTTTGTGCCATTTATGTTTCAACTTTATCTCACAAGCTACTCCCTGTGTGGTGCAAAAAGGATAAATAATTTTTTCAACAGGCAATATCCCACAAAGCAAGGTCCAAAATAGAAAAATCTTTCCTATCACTGTCTGCAGGAAGTGACCCACTATCTGGTGAAGTGGTGCAGCCTGTCGTATGAAGAGGCCACGTGGGAGCTGCAGGAGGATCTGGACCCAGAGAAAATCAAAGAGTTCCAGGAGATCCAGAAGCCGCCGCCAGAACTCCGACATGTGGTGAGTGCCCCAGTATTGGAACAGGCACATACCAACCAATGACAAGGGCAGCCTGAAAAATAACTGTGATGATGAGGTATTTGAAAGAAAACTAAAACAAACAAAAAATGTGAATGATGTACATTTACAAATACCTACAGTGTTAATTTCGTTTTACTAAATATTATCGTCATATTAAACAAACAAACTATACAAAAACTAAAATAGAAGTAATTCATTGAGACGTAGACAATAACTAAATTGAGCGACATTTTCCACGAACATATGGAAAAATATATATATATATGTATATATATATATATATATATATATATATATATATGTATATATATATATATATATATATATATATATATATATATATATATATATATATATATATATATATATATATATATATATATATATATATATATATATATATATATATATATATGTAAATGTATATATATACAGTGCAGTATGTATATATATACAGTTTAAAGCGGAGAGAGAACCATGAAGACAAAGGAACACACCAGGCAAGTCCGAGATACTGTTGTGGAGAAGTTTAAAGCCGGATTTGGATACAAAGAGTTCCCAAGCTTTAAACATCTCAAGGAGCACTGTGCAAGCAATTATATTGAAATGGAAGGAGTATCAGACCACTGCAAATCTACCAAGACCCGGCCGTCCCTCCAAACTTTCATCTCAAACAAGGAGAAGACTGATCAGAGATGCAGCCAAGAGGCCTATGATCAGTCTGGATGAACTGCAGATAACTACAGCTGAGGTGGGAGAGTCTGTCCATAACAATCAGTCGTGCACTGCACAAATCTGGCCTTTATGGAAGAGTGGCAAGAAGAAAGCCATTTCTCAAAGATATCCATAAAGAGTCTCGTTTAAAGTTTGCCACAAGCCACCTGGGAGACACACCAAACATGTGGAAGAAGGTGCTCTGGTCAGATGAAACCAAAATCAAACTTTTTGGCCACAATGCAAAACGATATGTTTGGCGTAAAAGCAACACAGCTCATCACCCTGAACACACCATCCCCACTGTCAAACATGGTGGTGGCAGCATCATGGTTTGGGCCTGCTTTTCTTCAGCAGGGACAGGGAAGATGGCTAAAATTGATGGGAAGATGGATGGAGCCAAATACAGGACCAGTCGAGGACGCCATCATCACCCTCCTCCATCGCTCGCTGTCCCACCTAGAGAAACCCGGCACCACTGTGAGGATCCTCATAATAATAATAATAATACCTTTAATTTGTAATGCACTTTACATACAAATCTCAAAGTTCTACAGAACAACAACAATAAAAGCACACATCATTAAGGTTAAAACAATGTTAAGAAGGGAACAGAAAAGTTTTAAGTCCTCTTTTGAAGGTCTCCAATGACTGTGGGGGCCCTCAGGTGTGGTGGTAGGGCGTTCCACAGTTTGGGAGCAGCCGCCTGGAAAGCCCTGTCACCCATTGTCCGGAGTTTAGTTCTGGGGATGGAGAGGAGGTTGGTGTCTGTGGACCGGAGTGCTCTGGTTATGGGTGGAGGAGTGAGAAGTTCTGTTAGATAGTCCGGGGCATGTCCGTGGATGCATTGGTAGGTGAGGAGGCAGATTTTGTATTGGATGCGTTGGATGATTGGAAGCCAGTGAAGATCGCGGAGGACTGGCGTGATGTGCTGGTGCTTCGGCGTCCTCGTCAGGATCCTGGTAGCGGTATTTTGGATATGCTGAAGCTTTTGAAGGCTTTTTGCCGGGATCCCGACGAGGAGGGCGTTGCAGTAATCCAGCCTGGAAGAGACAAAGGCATGAACTAAAGTTTCAGCGTCAGAGTGGGAGAGAGTGGAGCGGAGTTTGGAGATGTTTTTGAGATGAAAAAAGGAGATTCTTTGATTTCTCCAGTGCCTTCAACACCATCCAGCCGCAGCTTCTCAGGGACAAGCTGGAGACAGCTGGAGTGGACTACGACCTGTCCCAGTGGATCCTGGACTACCTCACAGACAGACCCCAGTTTGTGAGAACCAGGGACTTTGTGTCTGAGGTCCTGACCTGCAGTGTGGGGGCCCCCCAGGGGACAGTCCTCGAGCCGTTCCTCTTCACCCTCTACACTGCGGACTTCAGACACAACAACGGACGGTTGTGTCCTCCAGAAGTTCTCTGACGACTCTGCCATCATCGGACTCAGCTCCGAGGAAGATGACACAAAGTACAGAGGAGTTATACAGAACTTTGTGGACTGGTGTCAGCGGAACCACCTCCTCATCAACGCGGGGAAGACCAAGGAGATGGTGGTGGATTTCAGCAGACGTCACTCTGCTGCTCCAGCTCCAGTGAACATCCAGGGAAAGGACACTGAGAGAGTGGACTCTTACAAGTACCTGGGTGTTCATTTGAACCACAAAGTGGACTGGACTCATAACACCGACGCCCTCTTCAAGAAAGGCCAGAGCCGGCTCTACCTGCTGAGGAGGCTCAGGTCTTTTGGTGTGCAGGGGCCACTCCTGAAGACCTTCTATGACTCTGTGGTGGCATCAGCCATCTTGTACGGTGTGGTCTGCTGGAACAGCAGCATCACAGAGAGGGACAGGAAGAAGCTGGACAAGGTCATCAGGAAGTCCAACTCAGTCCTGGGCTGTTCCCTGGACACAGTGCAGCAGGCGGGGGACAGGAGGGTCCTAAGCAAACTAACATATGCTGGACCATGACTGTCACCCCCTGCAGGACACTCTCTCTGCTCTGGAGAGCAGTTTCAGTGACAGACTAATTCACCCTCGCTGTGTGAAGGAGAGGTTCCGTAGGTCTTTCCTTCCTGCTGCTGTCAGACTGTACAATAAGAACTGCTGAGCCTGTAAATTTCATTCATCTGTAATTAAGTAAATTCTTAAATCATGTGCAATGTGCAATACTGCAACTTCAGGATGTCACAGAACAATGTCACTTTACCTCATGTCACTTTATTTATCTACTTATACTATACCTATACTACTATAATTATCTTGCACTATTTAACTGTACAGTATATAACTGCACTACTACTACATATATATTTTGACTGGTATTGAAGCATTTTCAGCATCTACAGCTAGTTATATTAGCTAAGAAACATAGCTAATAATTATTTGTATATATTGTGTGTGCTCCCTGTGTGCTCCTACTACTGTCCTATATGTGCGCTGCAACCAGTGGCGGCCGGCCAATAGAGGGCGCTAGGGCGCCGCCCCACCACTCACAACTTGCCATGTTACCTTGAATAAAACGTTAAAAAAAATAATAACATTAAAATATTTCGAAATGTATGTGTGTTTTATTTCAGATGTGGAAGAAATACTTTATAGTTTATGCTGAGTTGGATTGATTAAGCTCATCAGCGTTGTCTGTGTCGGACTGAGGACGTATTTCCGCCTCAGGGCGCAAAAGATTGCGCCCTGAGCCGTCTATGGACTCTCGTTAAAAGTTGTACATGCGCAGTAGCTCCTCTTCAATGCAAGAGATAAGACGATTTGGGGGCGCAGGAGAAGTGCGCCCTGAGGGGGCGGGATCGCCCGCGACCTGTACTGTCACTGTCTGTGACGTCCGTTTACAGTGATTGACAGGTCAAGCTGTGGGAGTTTGAGACGAACGTAAAGAGACGCAAAATGGAGAACGAGAAAAATAATAATTCAGTTAGATCACTCAAAACAATACCGTTTGAGAGAAGATCATACCAGGAGAAGGTTGAGGTTAAAGAGCTTGGACCTGATCAGCCAAATATTACCATTAGTCAGCAGTCCAGGACCTGGTTCAGCGCCAAATCTTGGCTAGCAGCATGTAGCGAGGCTAATGCTTTATTTTGCTTTCCATGCCTCTTGTTTCAAACATCAGGATCTGACCCAGCATGGATCAAGACAGGTATGACATGACTGATCTGAAGCACTTTTTAGAAAAGGCAAAGAAGCATGAGCAGACTGGTATCCACATGCAAAATGCCCTCAAATTAGCTATGTTTGGGAAGATAAATATTTCATCCCAGCTGGATGAAAGCTACAGGGTAGGGATCAGAAAGCACAATGAGGAGGTTGACAAGAATAGGCACATCCTATCAAAAATAATAGACTGTGTCAAATTCTGTGGTGCATTTATATCTAGTCATCATATTCATAGCCCCCCCAGTAGAAAATTCCACCAGCCGCCACTGGCTGCAACACCGAAATTTCCCCCCTGTGGGACTAATAAAGGAATTCTTATCTATTCTGGAAGAAAACCTGTTGGAGTCTGCAAAAGACCTGAGACTGGGACGGAGATTTATCTTCCAACAGGACAATGATCCAAAACATAAAGCCAAATCTACAATGGAATGGTTCACAAATAGACGTATCCAAGTGTTAGAATGGCCAAGTCAAAGTCCAGACCTGAATCCAATTGAGAATCTGTGGAAAGAGCTGAAGACTACTGTTCACAAACGCTCTCCATCCAACCTCACTGAGCTTGAGCTGTTTTGCAAGGAAGAATGGGAAAGAATTCTCTCGATGTGCAAAGCTGATAGAGACATACCACAAGCGACTTGCAGCTGTAATTGCAGCAAAAGGTGGCACTACAAAGTATTAGCGCAAGGGGGCCGAATTATATTGCACGCCCCACTTTTCAGTTTTTTGTTTGTTAAAAAAGTTTAAATTATCCAATAAATTTCGTTCTACTTCACGATTGTGTCCCACTTGTTGTTGATTCTTGACAAAAAAAATATTTTTTATATCTTTGTTTGAAGCCTGAAATGTTAAAAGGTTCAATGGGGGCCGAATACTTTTGCAAGGCACTGTATATGTATATATATATATGTGTGTGTGTGTACGTACGTACGTACGCGTAACGTGATAATATCCAAGACCAACGCACTGAACTATTCTCTTCTTGTAGTGTGCGTACGTGTCTTTGCGTATCTGGTGCACACAATATACACAGCGCTGAAGCTGGACTACGGAGCCTCAGTCTCCTCCGTGTCTTCTCCCAAAGCGCACTCACTAAATTAAAGCTGGGGTT